ACACACACATACACAAACACATACACACACAAGCACCCACGCATAAACACGCATGGGCTGCAGTGTGCGCTTACTATGAGAACTTAATTGTTTAATAACTTTTTTTATGGACGTACGATCTTCATGAAACTTTCAGATTATGATTATAACATGAATATGCATGTAATTGCCAAAGCACAAGTCTCTAGTATTTGAAATACGCTTTTTACAAAAGTGAGGGTGAGGGGGTGAATTTAAGGGTGGGGGGTAAATTTTAACAAAAACCGAAATTGTATAAATTGCATATAAGCATACATTAAAAATTTGGAGACTCTAGCAATAAAGGTGTAGAAGATATAATTTTATAACTGGTTTTCGATAAGGTTTTTTATCGATAAAAAAAGATCGGGATGAGTTATCGATTTTTAATGATAAACTTGATATGCGCGCTGTAATTACGGACATTTTAAAAAAAATTTGAAGTCTCTAGCTCTTATATCTTCTGAAATCGACGCGTTCATACATACGGACAGACGGACAGACGGACGGACGGACAGACGGACAGACGGACAGACAGACGGACAGGGCCAAATCAACTCCGCTCGTCGCCCTGATCAAGAATATATATACTTTGTGGGGTCTGCCACGCCTCCTTCTGCCTGTTACATACATTTCAACAAAACCATTATACCCTGATTTCCCATTGAAAATGGGTTCAGGGTATAAAAAAAATGACGAGACACAGCGTTTGATTAATCTCCGATCATACATCAAAACATCATCGTCATCATTCAGGTAAATATCTGCGCCAACCAAATTATGACCCACATATTCCAAGTATTTGATAGACATTGATTGATTTTGAAACAACGCAAAACAAAATATAGAAATTATAATTTTATTTATAATAACTATTATTAAGGCAATACTAGATATATGCTTTGTGTCAATCATATTTTCGACCCAATGATGGACATTGATTAATTATAAGTATGATGGCACTTTACTAAAAACAATTATTTAACGAAAATATTATAAGAATCTGCATTAAATTTGCGCATGTTAATATCAGTGCAAGGAAAATAAGAATAATGATTAGTATATCATTATTCTTATTTTCCTTGTTAAGTTATCAAGTTAATTTTTACATAAATGCGAATTGGACAAAAGTAGATTGCGCCAAATGTCAAAAGAAATTTATTTGAAATTTTCATATTTGCTTTTCTAACCAGATTTCGTCATTGGAGACTGCAAAAACCATCTAGGTAATATTTTCCCGATTTTAATTAAAAGTTTCAGAAAGGATATTTAAATAATTATGCAGTAATATAACTTCCAATTTGCTAAATTGGTAAAAATAATAATTTAGCTGCAATAAAATTACTTGAGTCTACTTCAGTAACATATTCGTTATAGTGATCCCCGCAAATAATTCCAATTTCTTTTGGCCATAAAGAAAATTATATAAATAATGATGATAATTTGAAAAACCAAAAACACGTGGACGTAACGTCTAGTCTACTGGGCGTTATGTAACGCGAGCGCACAGCCCAATTAAACGCCACGATCCGCAAATTGAACTGGGTCTTTGGTCAACTGGGTCAGGCGATCGGCAATGGCCATCGAAGCGATTTATGAATTGGCCAAAAGCTGTGCAATTTGGCGCGTCACTAATGACAATTTCGCGCGATTTGTGCAAGTTATGTTTAATTATTGATGCGATAATGCGGGCAGCTCTCAAAAACAAATCCCCCTCAACGATCGTCAGCGAAATTAAATTGTGTATGGGGCCCTAAACAATGAATATGCTAATTCATATATGACTTCCGGCGAGTCAGATTGTATGCGTGTATGCATAAGCCCCAAAATATATTGTCTGGCAGATGACGCAGCCAATTGCCTGTGTGAGTGTGGAGAGTGTAAGTAGTAAAGACTGTGTCTCAAGGTTGCTCAAAAGAAAACTGGTAAGAGTGATAGAGGCGACTGCTAGACTCTTAGGTGGCCTGTAAAAAGTCTTTAAAATTTTTATATTATCCGCATAACGCAAAGCGGTGTCTCAGTTGTATGTCATCTTTCAATTGTATTAACATATTTTATATTAAACACGTTTCGAGCAATTTTAATGCAAACATAGACAAACGCTGTTAGGTTTCAACCAGGCCACTTGCAGTTGCTCAGAAGTATAATACCCCAAAATTTCTTAATGCCTACAGGGTATTACAAAGGTAAGTTGCTTTAGTGGCGTTTGTGAGATCTTAGTGGAATTTGTTGTGGTCTTTGATGGTTTCAGTTTCATTTGAACTCTGCTTCGTCGCTCATCAAGCCAAACAGCAGCAGCTCGATCATCATCACAATAGATTTGGGTATCCGCTTTATAAGTGACAGCCGACCACTGATTAGCATTTAGTTGGTTTCTGTTAGCCGAGAGACCCGGTGCTGCTCTTCAAAACCCAACTTTCAGTCGAACAAACTCGAGCCGAAATGCGTGCGTTTATTGTAAGATATTGAACTCAGTCCACGTAAGCTTGATTTCTCATGTGTTTACCATTAGGTTACGTGCCTCTTGGGCATGTCGCTGGCCAAGCCGCAAGGATACAATTACCAGGCGGGACGCATACCCGGCTTGGCGGGACTGCAGCAGCAACAGCAGGGTGCAAGCCTGGATGAGCAACGGCTGCTGCAGCAGGCGCTAGAGGCACCCAAGGTTCAGCAACTACTGAGTACACAGCCGACACAGAGCCAGCAAGTCTTCCAGCAGCCCCTGATTCTCCAGCAACCACAGCCGCAGCAGCAGCAGCAGCAGCAGATCTACCAGCAACCTCAGCAGCAACACCAAATTTTCCAGCAACAGGCCTCAAACTTTGGTTACAATCAACTGGCGCAACACCAGGCCTACAGCCCAGTCGTCTCCAAGGATATCTATGTGCATGTACCACCCGCCGAGGAGCCCGAGGAGCGTTATCCGCAGCCCGTGCTGCCTGTGGGTCCACCTCGAAAGCATTACCGCATTGTGTTCATCAAGGCACCCACACCCAGTGTCAGTAAGGCAGCTGTGCGTGTTCAGCAGGCTCCTGTGGAGGAAAAGACCATCATCTATGTGCTGACAAAGAAACCTGATCCTCTCGAGCTGCAAACAGCCATTGAAGAGGCAGCGCCCAAACCCATAAGCAAACCAGAAGTCTTCTTTATAAAGTACAAAACGCAGGAGGAAGCGGCGCATGCGCAACGCACCATACAAGGTAAGTCAAAAACTTTGCATAAGGCCGAGACCTTGCAGTTCACATTTTGAGCCCCCAGAAATGTTTGAAGATTTGTGTGAGTTGGAGGTCAACCTGTATACCTGTATGGTTTACTTATTACGGGTTTTATGCTCGTTTGTGCACTGCTAAAAACGGAATATTGGTCAGTTTGTGTGATCAGCACGAGTGTGCATGCATCTTTTGGGACACGTCTTTTACACATACATATGTACTTTATATAGCAAGGAGATTAATGAAAATATCTATCATAAACATAAAAGCGGACTACGCAATCGATTCTCAAATGGTTTTTATGATTTTCCAGCTCAATATGATCAGCTGGGCGGCACTACGCAAGTATCTGATGAGGGTGTGGCACCGGTAACATCGGTCATCGGATCCTTGGACAATCAGAGTGGACGTGTCTCAGTTGCTGGAGTCGGAACAGCTGGAACTGGTTCCACGGCCTCCATAGGGGGTCTGACAGGCACCATACCCAACAAATATTTGCCCGCCCATTTGCGGACATAGAAAATTGACTGAAATGAAAAGAATCGTTATTGTTGTAGTTAACTAAGTAAGAAATTGTTATTATGTATGTATATGTATGTACATATATCTAGCTAAATAAACATATCCCCTTCTTCTCCGACCTTTAAGCGTGTCTTTCACAACTTTTCCCATTAACACAGCCAATTTGACAAAGGCGAGCACGAATTGAAATCAAAGAAAAAAGACGAACTCATTTATGCCTCTGTATTGCCACATTTGTTTAGCCGGTCGGGAAAACCGGTCGGAGAGATTAGCATTTGATTAGTCTTGCATAACTGCCATCTACATATGCATAATGAAGCCACTGACCAATATCTTGATTACGAATGCAGCCGCTAAGTGGTCACTCACTCTTGACGATCCTCATATAAAAACACATAAGATATTATATATATATGTGAGCGAACATTCCAAATTTATTACCTATATGATAAGGAAGTATATATGTTATATTTAAAATGATTTGAATTATGATCGTAGCTCAGTCCATTAAGATATTCATTTCGGCTTTTGGTTGGTATTACAAAATTTCTTAAGCCAGCAAACACATTTTCTTGCAAAGTGGAAGGAACAGAAATTATGAAGCTAAAGCAATAATTAATATAAATATAGATAATGTAAGTACGTCCAATCATAGGGCAGAATCTTTTATTTCTTTTACTCTTTTCAAGGCCCGAAAGTAAATGATAAATAAATATCCCAACAATCTCATGGAAAAAATATGTTGATTTGGCAATTATGTTTATAACAATCTTAATTATTTAATTTATAGTGTCTACCTATTATCATTATGATTATATTATTAATTAACAGACAAGGCTATATGTTAATATTTTATAAGAATTAGGACTCTAATTTAGTAATTGGAAGAAGATGTGTTAGTTACAAGTAAATGTTATTACAATGTTAGGTTGGAGCTATGCAGAACACCTTTCAGAATCCAGCTATACTGATTGCTGAAGACCTCAACGCTTCAGCATGATGCTTTCATGCATATGAAAAAATCAACTCAGTTAATTTTATTTATCTATATAGTAATATATTTCGATGTCTTTTTCTATGCACGACAAAACCTATATCTGTATAATATATAATCATGGCTTGAATTGGTATTTCTGGTTAAAATATATATTTGTTTTGATGTGAATATTGAATTGACAATAAATTAGAATTAACTACAATCGAGCGATTCTTTAAGCTGAATACATGAAATGCGTTAGGGATGCTTATTTAGTTTTGGCTGGGATGTAGCGCTTGGATGGCACGTTGACGCCAAAGCTGGTGCTCGTTGACACCGAAGAGGTCTGTAGACCGCCCTGGATGCCAATATTACCCCCACCGATCGATGGCACAAATGAGTTCGGCTGCTGGATGCTTTGGCTTAGGATTCCCTGACCATTTTGGACAACTGTCTGAGTCTGCGGAGGATGAAGTTGGTGGTGCTGCTGCTGGATAGACTGGGGGACAATGTTGCCCAGGTTGAGGGAGCCAGTGCCCGAGAAGCTAGTGATGGGAGCCACTCCCTCATCGGAAATGTGTGTGGCACCGCCCAAAGCATCGTACTGCGCTTGAATTTCTTGTTGGGCGCGCTGGGCCTCCTCAGAGGTCTTGTACTTGATGAAGTAAACCTCTGGTTTGTGTACCTTGGGCTCGGTCTGGGCCAGCTGCAGATGCTGATGGATCTCATTGATATCGGGCTTCTTGGACAGTACATAAATGACGGTCTTCTCCTCGTTGCTGGCCTGGGCACGTTTTAAAACTGCAGCCGTGTGCTTCAGATTCTGTGTGGGTGCCTTGATGAACACAATGCGATAGTTCTTGCGAATGGGCGTGTTATCCAATTGCGGTGACGACTGCAGCTCCTCAGTGTCATCGGGAGCTGAGTGAATGTAAATGTCTTTCGTCACGATCGAGGGGCGCTGTACGTACTGCGACTGCACTAACTGCTGCTGTGGCTGAGACACAATCTGTGGCTGTGGCAGATTCAGGACCTGTTGCTGTTGATAGTTCTGCACAAACTGCTGTTGCTGCTGCTGCTGAGGCTGAACAGGAATAGAGGGCACAAATTGTTGCTGCTGCGGCTGCTGGAAGACCTGCGGCTGCTGGGGCAGCGGCTGGGATAGCGGCTGCGGGGCCTGAATCACATTATTAATCACAGGTGAGATGGGCTGCGAGAGGGACTGCTGGCCGGACACACTGTATATTCCACTAGTAGAAATCGGCGTCTGCGGACGCAGATTGCCAACTGGCAGAAGCGGCGTATTTTGCTGATATTTGTAGCCCTGTGGAGCAGCGACGACGAGTGCCACGCAAGACAAGTACTGCAAATATATACAGATATTCCAATTTAAATAGCACTTTACTCCTAGAAGCATGCGACTTACCACTAGAAAGCTGAACCGTTTCATTTTGGTAAACTGAACTTCTGCTCGAGCAGTTTGAGCTCAACTGATGCCCCAACAGATCGCCAGCAAAGGTTTTTATAAGATGATCTTCCTCACCGTCGGCTGGGCATCAAATTATTCAATCTATTGTCCAGCTCCAGCTCCATCTACATAGTTGGCAAATCACGGAACCATATTCGGAAATATTCAGATGAGCGCATTAGAGCTGCATCTCGCATAGTGAACTGTTATATAACGATATCCAACTTGATATTTAAATGTGTATAATCACATAATATTTCAACGAGCGATGCGGAATTAATGCGAAATATTATTGGTTAATACGACACATCAATGTATCAAACACTACCCCCTCCAAAAGAAAGTCATTTCATATGCATATGCAGCTGTCCAAACCCAGTCCCAGACCCAGACCCAGACCCAGACCCAGACCTGGCCCCAAGCCCAAGCTGAAGCTCACAGACCCAAAACGTTTACGGATCGGCAAATTAGTAGTTCGTTAAGTTGTTCGGAACAAACTTTATGCATAATTTAGTTCAGCCCAAAAAAAAAAAAATAGACACAAGTTAACCAAGTGACAAAAAAAAAAAAAAAAAAAAAAAAAACATGTAAGCAAATTTTTGTTTTTAAAGAAAGCAGTTTCAGTTTCAGAGGTCTACACATTTATTTTCTTCTCGTTTCTGGTTTGACATGCCTTAACTTGTTTGTCTGCTTCATTTTAATGTGAATCTTTTACACAACCCTTGGGTGTCGTTAGCTTTCGAAATATATAACATAACAAAGGCCCAAACTGTCATTGTCTTTCATTATGCTAATCAATTCAGCATCCAAATAGTAAATAGCGCGATAAAGCTGGAGTAATAATTATTTACAATTTGTTGTAAGTCTTCCGAAAAATAATATATCATGCATGAGGTATGTGGGCGGAGAAAAGTATAAAATGCACAATGCACGATTAAATGTGACATAAGATTTAAATCTTAATTAATATTAAATCTGTAGCATTCGATTTGACTAATATTGTTTTACAATAATGCATACATTTAAATTTAAATTTGAATTCAATTTTGGCATAGCCCCCCATTCTATTTTTACACCCTGAACCCATTTTCAATGGCAAATCAGGGTATAATGGTTTTGTTAAAGTGTATGTAACAGGCAGAAGGAGGCGTGGCAGTTTTTGCTAAAATTTACCCTCCACCTCTATGTCCACCTCCTCACCCTAACTTTTGTAAAAAGCGTATTTCAAATACTAGAGACTTGTGCTTTGGCACACACTGCAGCCCATGCGTGTTTATCAAGCATAAATGTGTGTATGTGTTTATGTATGTAAATGTTTGTGTATGTCTGTGTGTGTGTGTGTGTGTATGCGTGTGTGTGTATGTATGCCAGTGTGTGCGTGCGTGCGTGTGTGTGTGTGTGTGCGTGTTTCTTGTGTAAGTGTAAGTCAGTGTAAATTCTTAACTCTACTACAACGACGTCTTGACAGATATCATATAATTTCCAATTAAGATTGTTCACATAGAACTTCTTTGTATGTAATAGGGTTTTAAGACGAAGATTCTTCACTAGAGCAATTTTACCTGTTTAGTATGCAGCCCTGCTTATAGTCGCATCACAACTGATTCATCTGACAATTTGGCAAAAAGCTAAGTTTCACCAAAATCCAACAAAATCGCGTGTCAAAATATTATCCCTAGAAGCATAAACTAGACACTTGCAAATTATGTTTGAAAATCTAAATTATATTTGTTAGCAATATTTACTAGCTATGATTTTGTTGCTTAAATCTAAAACCTACGACTTGGTGGCAAGTACGCGCTATTCGAAGGCAGCTCGGCTGCAGTTAATCCAACAACCCCTGTCCCGCTCTTTGTGGTAAAGTCCAAGACGGGAGATGAGGAGCCGGCATTATGATTGGTCGAGCGGCCGGGAAGCGAATCGTATTGGGCTTGGATAACACGTTGAGCATTCTCGGCATCGCTGGGAGTGCGATACTTGACGAAGTGCACCTCTGGTTTGTTGTTAGTCTGGAGCTTGATGTGGTTCAGTTTGTTGGCCAACTCACTGACATCGGCCTGTTTGTTCAGTACATATATGGCTGTGCGATCATCGGAGGCGGAGGAAGCCAATTGTAGTGCAGCATGCTCCAGACCCGTATTTTCGGGACCCTTAATGAAGAGAACACGCAGATTCCTCCTCAGACTATTTGCGATCTGATCGTTGATGGGACTATTGTCGAACTCTTGTTCCGGTGCACTATATGTGTAGAACTCCTTGTTAAACTCGTTGACCTGGAGTATGGGCTCTGACAACTGGGCCGAGCCACCATGCACAAGACCGCCATCAGAGGTGGCGATCAATCCGCCACGCCCATCGCCAGAATGGGATTGGGGTGAATAATCATATTGGCCTCGAGCAACGGCAATGAAGCATAGCATCTGCAGCATGGGTCGATTGACAAAGCCGTTTCTTGCAAAGATCATATATAGACTTACCAGAAAAGCGCGCATCTTGAGCCTGGGCTAGTAGGTTTTTCTTGCCAATGGGGTATGAACGTGTTGGGCAGCTGCTGAGCTGTGTCTGTGTCTGCCAATTGCAAGTCTGGCCTTTATTTATATAGAGGCTCAGATGCATCCGATCCCATTTTTGGCTGCAAGACATGCAAATGCGCTACATTAGGCAACAGTACAACATTAACTGCCCCCCATATTCCAATTAAAATACCAATCGCCCTTTAATTGGAACATATAGCTTTGCATGAAAAATAGCGACTTCATCGACTTTAATAAGTCGGAAAATGTGTAAATGTATTCAAATGACGTCGCGGTCTTTATTTTGACCTACAGATTTGTGGGTTTGCCCAACTTGCAACCCGCATGGAATGCGACATTTTGTCGGCATTGCATTTTGTCTGGATTCATCTGAGACAAATCGGTCGATGAATTGCTTAAAGTTGTATATCAAATTTGCATAATGGGAAATTTACCAAAGTTTCCAAATATCTTCAATATAAGACCAGATGAGCACACTTAATTTATTAAGCATTAGATATTTATTTTCTAACTTAAAACAGAATAATCTATGACTCTAATTGAAGGATATCAATAAAATAAACAAGCCCAAACACCTGGATTTTAAAACTCTCAATTTTATATTTTGCCTACAAATATGCAACAGTCTTACAATACCTTTTTGTATACTTCTAATAAAATTTTTGTTATACCCTGAACCCATTGAAAATGAGAATCAGTCCCATATTGGCGCAATAATCTGTTTATTAATTTTCACCTTATTAGTGAGTGACATTTAACTAAAATTTCATCTAAATTCTTTATTTTTGCACATATTGTCCATGTGTGGCGGAAAATTTAGAAAATATGGTATTGTATATAGCTTTATGTTTACGGATCCAAAATATGTAATTATTTGCATACTAAAATCTCCATGAGAGGTCGACATTCCTTGTAACGAAAATTACATGAAGTACATAATACAATACAAAGATATAATCGATAAAGTTTTCGGACAATATAGTCGTAATATTAAACATTCTAGAATAGAGTAATATTATTCAAATATTCAATTGCTTCGTACAATTCAAGCTTTGTATACACTTCACTGAGCTTTTGAAGCTATTACGCCTATGACATCATAATGAAACTGGAGCATTGAACTGGTTTTATTATATGGGCAAAGACAACGTAAGCGAAAGCTTTATTTTAAAAACAAACTAGTTGTCCCGATGAACTTCGTACCGCCTAAAAGTCTCTATATATATAAAACAAAGTCGAGTTTGTTACAAAACTTATAATTCGAGATCTGCTGCACCAATTTTCATGGTTTTTGATTTGTTGGATTTGTCTCCGCCCCGAACAGCAAAATATATCTTAAAAATACTGAAAAATTTAGGAATAGTTGAAAAATACGTTATTTTNTTCTCGGGCGATTTCTCGTTCTTCGTCAGATAATTGACTCGCGATATTCCGATGCCTAATTGCATTATGGGTCCGCCGGGAAAGATTAGATCTTCTAGGACGCGGCATTTTTTATCAATAGTAACACTGAATATGCCCTCGCACAAAACCACATAAAACAATCGAGAAATATAAATATAAATAATCTACACAAATTTATGTTTGACACAAACAAATACCTGAATTTTCGAGATATTTAGCTTTTGTACGCACGTATTATTTTTATCAAATATGCTTTTTTTTATGAATAGTCAGGTTCAGGCTGTGCCGTAGACTGATTGACTACATTTGTTTATTTACTTCTATACTATTGTATAATATGAGAGCATGAGAGCAGCATATGAAATGCATGACATAGTTATGGATTCTTAGCTAATTATCATTCCAGCAACTTCTCTTTTACTAATATTGCCCATATTCTATTTAAATTTACATATCAAAAAAGCCTGTTGAATGATCTCACTTTCCCACAAAACGATCTCGTTTTCAGTTGAACACAAAAGCACACCGAAATGTAGTTCTTTTTTTATTTATTTATTTTTTTTTTTTTTTATGCAAATAATCTTAAAATATCAATGCCTTATAAGCAAGTAACAGCGACTAACTGATGGCCTATAAACACCTGAAGTTGGATAAGGAAATTTCATATTCCGCTTTCACTTCAATGTGAATAAACACATATAAACGCAAATAAGATCATATAAAATAAACAAGATCAACAGTTCTTGAGATCATATTCATACATAAAACATATGGGTATACTACCAGATTTGAATCAGTGAGGGCATTAAGTAAGGAGTCAGATTTGCGATTACTAGAAAAATGCAGCGGTTGATATTGTCTCGTCTGCTCGTGTGGCCGACCGGCTGTGGATTATGTTAAACGAATAAAGTTTAAAACTCGTTTCGGTATTATTTCAAGTCGCTCAAGTTCAGATAGTTGCAAATTATAATTTGATTATGAATAGCATGATAATACAAAACAAGTAAGAAGGCTAGTCGAAACTGCTCAACTAGGAGATACCCTGAACCCTCTAAGTTGATATTCTACTCATTCTGCACTTCTTTTATGCACACATGCATACACACGCACATGCATAATCACGCGCTCTGCCGACTGCGCAGTTAGCAGCGACTGCGCTAGGACTGCGCTACAGTGTGGGCAATATTATAAGAATTTATTAGTTGAATAATTTCTTTTGTAGACATACAATCTTAATGAAACTTTCAGAGCGTAATCATATGGTGAATATGTGTGTACATTCCAAAGCACAAGTCTCTAGCGTGGTATTCAAAATCTGTAAATTACAAAATCTTCATATCGATCTACTGTATATATGTACATAGTAAATTTGCAGCCTCTAGGTCTAAAAGTGCTGAAATTAAGCTGAAACAAGAAAATCAATTTTTCAATTTTTCTCGATAAAAAAGTTATTGGATAAGTTATCGAAAAAAGATGATAAACTTGTACAGCGTATGGTACACACGAGTATGCATGCCAAATTTCAGTTCTCTATCTCTTATAACTTCTGAGATCGACGCACTCATACAGACGGACAGACGGACAGGGCTATATCGACTCAGCTCGTCACGCTGATCAAAAATACATATACTTTATGGGATCTGCCACGCCTCCTTCTGCCCATTACATACTTTTTCACAAAACCATTATACCCCGATTTCCCATTTTCAATGGGTTCAGGGTATAATTACAATAGTATTTTATTTTGTGGGCTATAAAAACGCTTGTGAATAGGCACGCGCGTTTTAGTTTAGCTCAAGGAATCGGCGCAAAATGAAGACTGTTTGCGTAAGTCCTTCTGAATTTAATATTTCTAGAGAAATATTTAAGTCTCAACATGTTATTCAGTTGCTTGTACTCTTCGCCCTGCTGGCTGTAGTCTATGCTGCTCCGGCACCCGCAGCCTCTCCCGATGAGCCCACCGTATCCATTTTGCGATATAGGAACGATCAGGAACTGGAGTCTATACAGCGTGCAATAATTGCGCAATACGAAGGTCGACTTGGCGGCACCACACAGATTCATGCACCACGCACCGCAAGTGTCGTCAATCCCCGGACCCTCGGCATCCACATTTAAATACCGATAAGTTTAATAAATTACAAATTGTTGTGAATATTCGGTGATAATTTACTGATAAGCTGATAAGGCGCAGCCTCACCGCGTCTCAGATCGTCAGGGCTTCAGTCGCGCCTTACCACTTCAAGTGTAAACAACCCAAAAATTATTTGTATATATAAATTTATATTATTTGTATAAATAAATTTATATAATGAGTTGCTTGCTGGCACTTTTATCGGCTGCTCTGTTTTGTTTGGCTGGAAGCCAGCGATTGCCCAAGAATCAGCCGATGTTCTTTCCCAAGGAACAGGACATTGTCTTTCCAGATAACAAGCAATACAAAACACCATTCAAAATCAGTGACTTTTACTATAATAGTAAGCTAAACACTAAGCTCGAGCTTCCGATGCCGCCGCAGCGTGAACTCAATCCGACTCGCTTCAGGCCGGGGCAACCGTTTCCACCTCCGCCAAATGGGCGACGATACAAGAAAAGGCGCACGGGGCAGAATAGACGCCTCTGCGAGCGCAGTGAGTTCTTTTCACAGTTCTCATCTTTAGCGTAATCCATTGACTGAAATCTTCTTATTAAGAGTACTCTGAGTATGTTGAGCGAATCTTTCCCAACGATACCGCTGTTTCGGAAGACGCAAATGACGAAGATTTCGATGGCCGAGTTCTTGCCCGGCCTGGTGAATACCCCCATATGGTATGTTCTTTTAAGCTGATAATAAACTATTGTACACTCCGAGAAAATATCGAAGGTTATGAGCTCAAGCAAAAGTGTCAAGTGCTGGTCAACCTAGGAACGGATTAGTTGTATATCTCTTTATTCCGTTCATTCAAAACATACGCTCAATTCAGTATATATGTACATAAGTACAACATTTTTCTCTGAGTGTAGCTTCCCATTATCGTAAGTGACCCGCATAAAACCGGAACATTTATTTTGACAGGCGGCTGTCGGCTTTGAGACTAACTCCGACAAAATCGATTACAAGTGTGGAGGCAGTTTGATAAGCGACAATTTCGTATTGACGGCGGCCCATTGCACCGAGGTGGACGGGTGAGTTGCCGAGTCAAGAGGACGCGTTGTCGAGAGCGAGTACTGAGTCGATGATTCTCTGATTGCATCCGGCACATTTAACATTTTTGTAGAGATGCGCCGAAATGGGTTCGCATCGGTGGACTGAATCTTATGATCGATGAGGTTACGGTTGAGCCTCAGAACTTCGTCATCGAGATCATCTTCAACCATCCCGATTACAGAGTTGAATTATATTATAATGATATAGCACTGCTTAAGCTGTCTAATAATGTAATGTGAGTATTCACGGATTTCGAAAATGCTAATTTGCAGTTGTGTAAAATAGGAATAGATACTCTTGTAATTCAAATCAACATAAATTAATGGTTTCTTTCAGACTAAGTGAGTTCGTTCGCCCCATCCGGCTGTGGGTGGATAAGGAGATACCTACTTCAATTGCATTCGCCATGGGCTATGGCTCGACTAGCTTTAGCAAGGCCATGACATATCGCCTGACCCATCTAAATGCGACCATAGTACCCAACGATGAGTGCACCCGGGATCTGCCTGTATTTGCTGAGACTCCCAATGGCATTATAGACAGTCAGATCTGCGCTCAGGATTTCCTTCAGAATCGGGACACTTGTCAGGGCGACTCAGGCGGTCCGCTACAGCTGAATTTGCCTGGTCGCAGACGCAGCCTTATTCATTATCATCTTATAGGAATCACCTCCTTTGGCGTATTCTGTCGCAGCAGCTACCCAAGTGTATATACACGTGTGTATTCGTTCTTGGACTGGATCGAAAATATTACATGGGGTATGCCGGAAAACTGAACGTCACTGAATCATAAATTATGTATCACAGACTGCAGCTAACAATAGCTGAGGAATGCAAATATGTAGAAGATATTCTAGAATACAATATGTTCATGTATTTCTTAAAATAAAATTAAAACTTACAAGAAAAAAAAAATAGAACATTTATTACCCACAAAAATTGGAAAACGCATGGAATATATAAAACAGGTCAATGAAAGTGTACTACGATTAGGAATTTGACTACAAAACATTTACATGTAATACAAACAATTAATTGCAAAATATATTTTATATATTCTATATTTTTTTAAGGAAAAAACGAAAGAAAATTTTTGGTCAAGTTTGCTGAGTATTCTAGCCGAGGGAGTATTAGACCTCATTGTTGGCATCCAGAACCTGACGTTTGATGTCCTCATAGGAAGGCAGGGTCTACAAAGGGAAACAGAATTCAAAATGCATTCAGAGATAGTAGAAGAAATTGTTGAATGATATATGATTTATAAGCATTAGGCGCTGAAATACTCACGCACAATATTCAGTGGAGTATTTGATATTAGACATGCGAAAACAGAATTATGAAAAGCAGGCGATTGTTATGTTTAAATGTGAAGAGCAACGAATTGATTTTATTAGAGTTTTACCAACCTGCCAGTAGTTGTCGTCCCAAGAGGGGAACATGCGCTTGAAGACGCGAGGCTCCTGACTCTGGGTCACCCGAATAATGCTAACAGTGTCTACGGTGCGGGCGGTTGGCTCCGAGCTGATGTAGCGCTATAATCGAATGGATAAAGTGGGTCATTAAGGAATTTTTACTAAGATTGCAGTAACTGGAGACCTGATTTTGGTTGTGTTGAACACTATTTTACCTTGGCCATGTCCAGTATCCTGCCATTCTCCTCGGCTGTGGCGCCGGAGCCGACCCACATGTAGATCTCATCGCCAGCATCCAACAGCATGACATCATCCGTGTCGAGATCCTCCTGCTGGTAGTCGGCGACCTCCTCGACCTTAGTACGCCCAGCGCGTGTCAATCGGCAGTGGAATAACCGTGGCTCGAGCAGTGGTGGAGTTTGATCGTCCAGGCTACGGTCGTACTGACCCTCGCCGTTCAGATCTTCCCAGAAGTCGTCGGGCTCAGCTCCCTCCTCGATTAACTCCAGCTCCGCATCCTTCCAGTAGTTCGCAAAGCGTGACGTCGCCGCCTCCTTCTCAAAAGTAGAAGCACCCAGTCCTTGCCAAATGAAAACCTTGTGCGTCTTGGTGGAAGCTAGAGCAAACGCGTCTCCAGAAGCCAGCGAAGAGCTATCAGCAGGCACTTCGCTTGCGTGGATATCGCTCTCGACCGTGCCGCGAATGCGAAACAGCTGCGCGGACACAGGTAATGCCGTATAGGAAGTCAACAGCTTGCCCTTGAAGATCTTGTAGAAGTGACGAGGCTCATGGCCCTGTGTGGTGCGCACCAACAAAGCATTCTGTTCGACGGCCAAGGCCATTCCATCCTCGAAGGCACGCTCCTTGACAGCCGCATTGGCCTTGGCACCCTGCCAGACATAAACAATGGTGCCCTTGTCACCATTATTGGCCTCATAGTTGTAAGTAAGCACGTAGGAGCCGAAACCCAGCAGCGGCAGCTCCTCCTCCAAAGGCACATGGTTGCGGAACACCTCGTTGCTGCCCGCCTTGGACACATACTGGGTAATATCCTTGATGCTGTTTTGGCCATGATCGGGCATGAAGCCGATGGCGCGACCACCGCTTTTCTTCAACTTCTGCACGACAGCATCGATCTCATCCACATCGAGAGACTCATCCGAGCCGATGTCTAAAGCGGAGCGTATCAGACGGGTATGAGACATACCCACATCGCGCCAAGTGTCGAAATATTGCTTGAATGGAGCCGACTCGGCGCCCTCGACAATGCGATGAATCTGGGTCCAAGCTGGGTATTTTTTGGTGCGCAAGAACTCTTGTGCCTTAGCCATGGCGTCGGACTTTTCTTTGGGAGTAGCGCCACGTCCCACCCACACAAAAATGCCGGAGCCAGTGTCCAAAATGAAGCAATCGCGCGTATCCAGCATGGCTTGACGTAGTGGCTTCTGAGCAATGGTATCCACTTGGAGATTACCACTGGCATCGGACACCTTGTATAGTGTGACTGCGGCAGCATCTGTGCGCTCGAAAGCACCATCCTCATCAGCGGACGACTCCTCAGGAACCTGGTCGGCTGAGCCAGAGCCTAACACGTCGAAGAACTGCTGCTTATCCATCTCCGTGCTGAACTCATCGATGATCTGCACACGGGCGCGTCCATTGTGATCCTGATCCCTGATCTGGTTAGCTGCGCTAATAGCTTTCAGCTTTTCCACGCGCTTGGCCTGGGCACCCACGTAGACATAGATGTCATTGCCAGCATCCAGAATGAAGCAATCACCCTTGTTCATCGAGGAGACTGAGAGATTTACCTGCCGCACGCGCACATTACGCTTGCCCTTCACCTGGAACAAGCGCTTCTCGCCCTGGGCATTTGTCTGCACGTGCTTGAATCCGGTGCCAACGCCACCCTGTTCATACCGCACACCTGTACAGGGGAAAAGAGTTCTTCAAAAATCATCTTGACACACTACACAATATTTACCGTTCTTGAAGTAGCTGAGGAACAGCTGTGATTCGTGATCCTGCACCTCGCGATGCTGCACGGGACCTCCATTGAGGATATCGTCTAATTGCACTGTCAGAATAGCCGCAGCTCCAGCCTCATCAGTGGATGTCTCCGAGCCCAGCCAGAAGTGCACATCCCATGTGAGTTGCTTGTCCTTCGGGTTCTGCTTGGTCTACAAATTTAATTGAAGCAAGTAAAGTCTTAATATTATTATTATTATAT